CGTGGGGCCTGAACTCTGGGCCTGGGCATTGTCCCTCAGCTCTTCAGCTCAAGGCTAGTGCTCTACCACTTGAGCCACAGCGCCACTTCCGTCTTTTTTCTTTTTGCTTATGTGGTGCTGAGGAATCAAACCCAGGGCCTCGAGCATGCAAGGCAAGCGCTCTGAGCCACCTTCCCAGCCCCTAGCCTTACCTTTTTAAAATTGCTAGTGAATGTAAATTTTAAATATGTCCTCTTTGGCAATTTTATTTTCTGCTTTTTAGGGAATTGTTTATTGATGCTCTTTGCTTATTTCCTTTAGTAATAAACATTTATCTGTTAGAATCTATTCTAAAAATGTGTTGGATATTTAGCTATCTTTTTCTTACTCAGATGCTGGAAACTATTTTTTGGAATGACTTTTCTTTCTCAGTATACCTGCTTTCTCTTTCTCTTGTATGCAATATGCCTCAGGCTTCTCTAGTTACTTTTGTGTGTGCGTGGGGGGGTAGAGGGGGAGAAGGAAGGGAAATAAGGGGGACGTGGATTGTGTGTGCATGCTAGTACTGGGGCTTGAACTCAAGGCCCAAGTACTGTTCATTAGGTTTTTCCTCATGGCTAATATTCTACCACTTAAGCCACACCTTCACAGCTTATCGTTTATTTTGAAAATACTGTTTTATATTAAAATACTGTAATATGTTTGTAAGCACACAGGCAAATTTATTTACAGATGTTTAGAATTTGTATCATGTATGTATTGCGTTAAACAGGTGGTTCATATGAAAGTGGTCACACCTAGAGGTATAATAGAAAAAAGCTGTCAAGGACCTCGTATGTCAACAGGCCCTGATATCCATCACTTCATCATGGGATCTGAAGGTAAATAGCTATAAGTGAAAATTTATTATGAAAAACAGAGGTTAGTGGCTTAGTTATATGAGAATCTGTGATGTTATGATACCACATATTTGCAGGTAATGTTTTATGCGTTTAAGGAATGAAGAACCTTGAAATTTTTTAAAAAGTTTTAATTAATACTTCATTTATTGTGAGAACATTTTATTAAAGTTCATCTTAGGTTTTGCTTTTTATATTTCTAGAGACAGTGTAGTCTTTTTGGTTTTATATCATATTGAAATTTTAAATGAATTTTAAGAAAAGTTATTAGGGTTTAAAATGATTTAAACTTCTCTTCATTTAATATTTTACATTGCAGGTGGTATCCTTGCTTGATTACTTAATATTCAGTAGATGAGAATGTCATTCTTCATTTCATCCAAAGCATAGAATTCCTATACAGATCAGAAGAACATTGACCTTATTTCTTCTGTTTTGTGGAATGTTTTCTAGGCACAGTTTGTATTATATGCATAGCATAAACATGGGCTTGTTTTTCAGATTTTAGTTTAGGTTGAAAACATCCCTTAAATTCAGAGTAATAAAATAGATATAAATAAGAAACTTTTCTAAGTTAGCAAAGTCTGAGCTGAAATAAGATAGATTTTGGAAGTATTTTGCTTTATTCAGGAATAATGGAATACTTTCAGCAAAGTAAGATATTGTGAAATAAATTCTCATCTTTGATGGTAACATCAAAGAGGGAAAAAGTAAATTATATCTCTTGATATGGTAGAGGCTATATCACTGAGCCTGTGCTAGGTTGATGACTAGTAAGTCATATAGCTTAGTTTTTTTTTGTAGGATAATGAATTACAGGTCTTTGTCAAGATATCTCCCCAGTTTACTGTTTAATCCTGTTCTGATCAGCATATTATATGAGAAAACTATTGCTTTTTTAATAAGAAAAAGTAAAACTATTGAATTCTTTAAAAACATGTAATTCTTGATTATTTTTCTGGACTGTGTGTTAATATGTTTAAGATAAATTAACCTAACCTTTTACTATCAGATGTCAAATTGAATAATAGATATTACAACTCTTAATTTTAAATTAATGATTGAAGTATATATATAATTGGAGTTAACTTTAAAAATACATTATCTTGCTGGGCGCTGGTGGCTAATGCCTGTAATCCTAGCTACTCAGGAGACTGAGATCTGAGAATCAAGGTTCAAAGCCAGCCTGGGCAGGAAAGTCTGTGAGACTCTTATCTCCAGTTAACCACCAGAAAACCAGAAGTGATGCTATGGCTCAAGTGATAGAGTATTATACGCCTTGAGCTGAAGAGCTGAGGGATAGTGCATAGGCCCAGAATTCAAGCCCCACGATCAAAGGGTGGAGGTGGGGGGTGGGGTGGGTACTTCTTTTCAATTAACTTCATCAGACAACTAGTATTTTAAAATTCTGTATGTTAGATACTGTCCACATAGACTTAAGGACAGAAACTACTATACTGCAGATGAGATAATCTATGATTGAAGTAAATGCTAGAGAAATGCAGACAATTAAGGTCAATGGGTGCTATAGGGAAGCCTAGAAATAACTAATGTGGTCCTAAAAGATTCATGAGTAGGAAGTAATTCCAAATCAAGTTGCCTTCTAGAAAGAAGATGCAGGTAGACACACGTAGAAGTGAGAAGGAACTCTATCGTGGTATTGCCAGTTTTTAATTATAACTGGAGCATAAGGATCGTTGTAGGATAGATTATACAACAGGTCTATTTGTGTGTATTGGCTATTCCTCTTGCATATTCAAGATGGTTTTAGTTTCTTCCTATTCTCAAACTTCTCCATATAGGAGGGCTTTTGAACTTTCCAAGTGTTATTAGAGTATTTGGGGATTTACTGTTCCAAGTTTGCTTTTTAGATACAATTTTATCTGTATTATTGTAAGTCTTCAGTTACCTTGTACCTTCTACCATTTGTTGTGTAAGTTTTTAAGCTTATATTACTCTGTTTTCAGTGTTATAATCCTACAGCAGCTGGGAGGGTTTAGGAGAGCTGTTGGATTTCTCTTTCTTTCATTTCTATGTAGAAATTTGATAGTTGCAGTATTTTTGTGTCACAGTAATAAGTTGTAGATCCCATATAGGGAGTAGAAGGACAGGACAGATTCAGAAACTAATGATACTGATTTTTTTCTAATCATGTTACCAGTTAGTGCATTTTCAAATTATGATTTTGCTTTAAGCAGCTACTTGGATTTTATAGCAACTAAGAATTGAAGCCTTTAGTTTTCCTCCAGAGCAAAAAAAAATATTTTTGGCAAATTCTGAAATAAAATGGAAATTTATTATAATTTTTTAAAAACCTCAAAACATATATAAACCTCTGTATTATGTTACATTGCCATGAATTTATTTGTAGACAGTTATACGAAGTATCTACTATTGGCATGATGTGCATATATTCAAGTAATAAGTAGCTAGGGTTTTTTCCTATTTTTATTCTTGAGACAGGGACTCTATCCCCACATTAGTCATAAACATGAATGGACATGCCTCCTAGCTCAGCTTCCAGTGAGGATTAGAGATGTGTATCATCATACCTGAATTGAACCCAGGAATTCACACATGGTAGCCAAGTGTTCTGACACTGGAGCTATGTTCCATCTCCACTTTATTCTTTTTTGTGATTAGATAATATTACATTGCATGGATATGCTACATCTTGTTCATGGTTTGTCAGCTGGTGAACATTTGTATTATTTCTACTTTTTGGTTGCTACCAATTATGTTATAGTGATCATTCATGTATAGATTGTTGTGTGAACGTAATATTTCCATTTTTCTTGGCTCTATAGCTAGAGTGAAATTACTGACACTATCCCGTTAGCTCATAACATTTTATAGTTTGAAGCACAGCTATTTTCCTGCCTGCTTCTGACACAGTTGAAATATTGACAGCAATATTATAATTAAAGCAATTTCATATAACAATAAAAATTCAAGACTAAAGAAAGAAACAATATGAAAAACAGGCAATTCAGTGAGTCCAGAACTATATGCCAGTAGCAAAATAGAAAAAAGTACTCACCAACACAGAAGATAACTTAATCTTGAAGAAAAGTATTATATACATCAGGATTTTTCCCCCTAAAACTAAGAAAACACTTGTTTCTAGTGACTTAGATTTGCAAAAGGTTGTAAAAAAGTTCTTACCAAACCACAAAAAAGGAAAGGTCTTTGTTATTGTGCCACAGCATCCTTGCTTATAGGGGTACAAACTTCTTGGCTTGTGCTTGAACCCATTTCTTGTAATGCATTTGTTTTGGCAGTAAAGTACGTAGGCTCCTATTTTAGCTGAATCCTGGATATTTTGTTCATTTAGAAGTATAAGTGGACAAGGAAAATAGGTAAAAGTTAGATTTCTTTTCCTGTCAAGAAATCAGATAATGACAAGCCAGAGCAAGGGTGATTAGGGTCCCAGCCTTAGTGTTCCCTTGATCCAGAAATGAGTTCCACATTTGGCTGCAAGTTATCTCAAACTTAACCTTGGGAAAAGATAGCTTAAACTTAATCTTGAAAAAAGGTACTATAAGCATTAGGAAATTTCCCCTAACACTAAGAAAGTTTTTAGTCAAGTTTTTACCCAAGAAAAAGAAAAAAATGCCACATAAAAACTTGTGTACAAAAACTAGTAGAAGTAGTACATCTGTAATTCTCGCTACTCTGGAGATAAAAATGGGAGGATGATGGTCCAAGGCTGACAAAATAAAAAAAATAAAAGAAGGCTGGAAGTGAGGCTCAAATGGTAGAATGTTTGCATAGCAAGAATAAGGTTCTGAGTTCTTTCCTGTGTTCAAACCCCAGTGCTTCCCAAGGCAAAAAAAAAAAAAAAAACCCTCGCATAATATATTTATAGTGTAATATATTCATAGTAATATTTTCAGTAGCCAAAAAGTGGAGTTCCAAATTTTTTTATCAACTAATGAACAGATAACGTGAGTATTACTATATAATGGAATAATAGTAATTACCACTGTTTTAAAAACAGTGACTAAATGAGATAACATATGCAAGCCTTAAAAACATTTAAATGAAAGAGGCCAGTCCCAAGGCCATATTTTGTGAAATTTCTTTTATGTAAAATGTCTCGAGTGTGAATATGTACCTAGACAGGATGTAGATTAGGATTGACTGGTGTAGGTGTGAAAATGCATTGTGACTTTAATCGGTATAGATTTCTTTTCGGAAGTTTGAAAATAGTCTAAAACTTACCATGGTTGTGCATATATGTGAATGTACTATAAAAACCATTCAATTTTGTACTTTAGGTAAGTTTTATTGCCAGATTATATCTCAGTAAAGAAAAATGTTAACCTAATAGAGAAAGTTTTACTTGATATTTAAAATTTGTAATAATGCTTTTTTGTGACTAATATTGGTTATATCTTTATACATGTCTACATTGTATATTCCAATCATTTTACCCCCTCCATTACATTCCCTGCCACTTCTCTCTAAGAAATAGTGTCCCCAACAGATTTCCTTGTTTTATATTCTTCGTTGGAATTAGTCTATTTTGACAGTGCTCAGTCTTCATTATCTTCCTCCCAGCCATCTTCCCCTCTAACTAGTCCACTAAGTGCTTGTTTGTTTCTCTTTCCTTCCATTCTCCTATTTTTTTTTTGCATTTTAATTTATTATTGTAAAGGTGATAACCAGAGGAGTTACAGTTACGTAAGTCAGGCAAAAAGTACATTTAACTTTGAATAGTATGACCCCCTTTCTTGCTCTCCTGAATTTTTCTCTCCTGTCCCCACCCACAATTTGTATAGTTCATTTTCAACATAGTGTTGAGCAAGTCCATTCTCCTATTGACCATTAGTTTTTGGTGAGTTTCTCTGTGTTGCTCTCATATACACTTAGGATGTATTACAGTCTTCATTTTTCCCTTTTCCCTCTCCTTCTGAGCAGTCTCTTAGTTTGATTCATGTTCTGTTTAACTAATTATGTACATGTATATTTATACTTATACATGTTCATAAAAACATTTTTAAGGCCTAGCATCCACATATAAATGATAAAAAATTTAAATTTTATAAGGTAACTGTTTTAGGTTAAAATATTAATTGAGCCAAGTTGCAATCATACAGTTATAGGAGGGCCATTTTATATAATCTCAGTGAGAAGATCACACATACACACATAAATATGATTTAGAAAATCCTTATGATGTAATGGATTATTTCTCCCTTCTTTTTCAGGAACTCTTGGTGTAATAACAGAAGCTACAGTAAAAATCAGACCAGTCCCTGAATACCAAAAGTATGGATCAGTAGCGTTCCCTAATTTTGAACAAGGAGTAGCTTGTTTAAGAGAAATTGCAAAACAGGTAAAAAAGTTAATATGTATATATTTAATTTTTATAATTCTATATAATTATGTTACAGTAACCTTTATGTTTAGCTGTGTTATATTTGTGTTTTTTACTCAGTTTTATATGAAAAGGTAAAGCCCTTAAAGTATAGTTAGTTCTTTCAGTAATTATATTGCTATCAAATTTTTTTCTTAGTTTAAAGAGGGATGTATGATTTTAAGCCAATTATCTCTCTCTCTCTCTCTCTCTATATATATATACACATATACATACATATGTATATATATATATATAATTGATGGCCTTGATGGCCTTATACTGAATGTTATATATATATATATATATATATATATATATATATATATATACGTATATATATATTTAAAGTTACTTGGAGGTAAATTTTTTGTGAGTAATTGAAATACTTAATATGCCTTAAATAAGATAGTTGTTGAAATCAGAATAATGGCTGAATATCAATGGCCTCAAAATTTGGAATTTTATTTATAAAATAAAATTTAAAAATTATAAAAACTTTATTAAATTTCAGTTCATAATATTTTGTTCAGTTTTGAATAACATTTCTAGCTATTCATTGCTGCTTCCATATTTATGGAAAAAGAAATGTCAGTGCCAAATTAAAACTTTAAAACATTGTAGAACTTTTGTTTAGTGTTGAGTAATATTTCTATCTTCTTTTTTGTGTCAGGCATGGGACTTGATCTCAGGGCCTGAGCACTGTCCCTGAGCTTTTACACTCAAGGCTATCAGTCTACCACTTTGAACCATAGGTCCACTTCATGTTTTCTGGTGGTTTATTGGACATAATAATCTCACAGACTTTTCTGCCAAGGTTGACTTCAAACAACAATCCATCAGCCTCCTGAGTAGCTAGGATTTTAAGTGTGAGCTACCAGTGCCTGGCTTGAATAATATTTCTAAATAATCATTACTACTTCAATTTTTATGACAAAATAAACATGAATATCAAGTTACAATTTTAAAAATCTCTTCTTAGCTGAGGCAGGAAGACATGGGATCAACCTGGGTTACGTAGGAAGAAAACAAATAAAATTGTAGAGGTTAAAAAGTAGTTTTTTCAAAAATGGGTCTTCATAAGATAATTCAATCTATTGGACCAATTCTGTTCCTTCATAATATCTCTGTTATAAGAACACAGATTTAATAGATTCATTGAAACGTATTGTTAAGAGATCTTTGGAGTAGACATACGTGTGTTTTGTAATTTTCTGAGTGCTTCATTGCAAATACTCACATGTAAATATATCTTAGGTTTCATCATTGAGAAGCTTTGTACAAATACAGCAGAACCTTAAGTTTACATTTTCATTAGAATGCGTCTGTTGGATTTAAACATAAATAGTTGGTATAATCCGATACAGTTTTGTTACATTTTGATAGACTCCTAACAGAAAGTGACTGACAGGGAAGTACTTATCAGTCCTGTTGAACTGTGGGGAATAGAATTTTTCTTTGTCCTTATACAAATCAGTGAAACTTGCCCTTTTATTAATTTAAAAACAAATAGTATATTTACTCTATGGCCATAGTGTAAATTACCTGGCCTATACTATTTTAGGTGTGCATCCTGGAATAAATAAAGGTAAGAATTGACTAAAGAAAGTGCCACAATGAAGTTAAAAAGCAGGTTAAAAAAATGAGAGCACTTTTCTGTAGTTTTAGTATTAACAGTTTAGTTTTGTGTACATAGTAATGGACAATTGCAGTAGACCTACTGTGGACCTGAAAGTTTGCCTTACTGAAACTGATTTAAATGTTTAGATTGATAATATTTTCTCTCATGTATTTCTTTGCTAAGAATAGTTACTCTGATTTAGAGATATCATATTATTTTTCACATTTGCATATTTTATTTTTATTTATAATGTACCTGTAGAGAAGCATTATTGTGTACCTAGAAATGGAATAAAATGGATAAAAATATTTTATAATGGCTTAGGGATATATCACCTTATGAGTTCACTGAGTATACAAATCTCATATGTCAAGGGAGTAGAACACCATTTTTTTCCCTTTGTAACAGTATTCTTAAGTTTAAAAAATAGAAAATTACCAGATTTTGGCACTAGTCATTGTTCAGTTTGGGATATGGAACTTCAGCTGATAGCTGGAGAATTAAGGTTTATTAAAATAGATGGTACATTGTTTATGATTGTGCCAAATTCTTGATTGAATAATGAGTTGGCCGTTTGTAATTCTTCATTGTCATTTCTTAGCACTTCTATTTTTACAGTGTTTTTGGTCTCGAGGTGCTTTTTTGAAATTGGAAAGTCTATTTTGGATGACTGTCTTTTGGAAAGGAGCATACATGATTTTTCACAAATAGCAAAGTGGGCTTGGTATATATTTGTACTATTCTTACTAAAGAAAGTAAATTAAGCAACCTTACAATGGCAACTGATGGATTCTGCCACAGTCTTGTCTGTGATCTTTGTGCATGTGAGGAATTGTACTTTTTCAATGCTTTACTGCCTTGTGAGGATCTATAGGAAGATTTAGTGTAAGATTAATGAGACTGTGTCTCCTAAGTGGCAGTCCAGTCTAATACCCTTCTTTACTCAGTAGATGGGTAAGTGATTTTTAAGACTTTCTTAGATAATAGATTTCCAGTTAGTCTTTCAAGAGGGTAGAGAAAATTGGGTTTTTAAATTGGAATATCAGTATCAGATAGGACATTTGATTTTGTTGTTGTTTAGAAATGACAATGCTATCTTTACAAGGTTTCAAACAAGCCCAAAAGCAGAATTTTTTTCACTTGTGTGTTTTCAGGGAGAATGATGATGCATGCATTATGACATTGAAGGAGACACTTATCTTCCAGTTAGAGAAAAAAATGGAATATTTGAGATAGATTAGTACTCAATTTCCTTAAAAACTGTTTAAGTATTAGTGTGTGTTTAGAATTATTTGTTTAAAAAAATAGCCTTGGGCTGGGAAGGTGGCTCAGTGGTGAGTGCTTGCCTTGGATGCATGAGGCCCTGGGTTCGATTCCCCAGCACCACATAAGCAGAAAAAGGAGGAAGTGGCATTATAGCTCAAATAGTAGAGCACTAGCCTTGAGCTGAAGAGCTGAGGGACAGTGACCAGGCCCAGAGTCCAGGCCCCACGATTGACCCCCATCCCCTCTGTCCCCCAAAAAGTCTTTTTACTCATTATTTTTGACCAGGGGTAGCCTTTAATACTTTCTATCACTTTAATTTTAAACTCATTGATGGTTTTTTTCTAGCAAGTTTACATCATAATTAGGAAAAACTGGATCATAAATTGTTCTGTAAAAATTAATCCTGCAGGAGTTCAAATTAGTTAAGAGGAGTTTCAACAGTTTTAACACATACTTATAAACACTTAAAATACTTTAAAACACTTATAAAACACATGTATATTTAACAGTAATTATAGGAAATATTGTTACATATAGAAAATGGAATTACCATTTTAAATCAGTACTTGTATCATACTTTTCTCTCTGAAGCAGAAAGTATGACCTTAGTCAAATGTTTCATAAGCCAGATTCTTTACTATCAGATCCAGAAAAATGAGAACAATTTTAAGATGTGCTGGCTATCATAAGCTACTTTTTACTTTTATTAAGCTGACAAAATGTGAGATTGTAATTAGGAGACTGGTGCTAAAGTTTGATCCTTTCATTAATTTTAAGTGAAGGGAAATGTCTGGACAATAATATGTGTGTTTCCATTTTTTAAAAATCAAGTTTTGATTGTCTTAATAAGAGTTCTTTTTGTTGTGGACTCTTAGCTCTTAGGCTCGTATGTCCTTTCTAGTTTAATCAACCAGTAATAACAATAGCCTTAAATATTGTGTGATTTTTTTTTTCTCTAATATCAACTCTGACTTCTAAGTTAGGAAAAAATCTATTAAGTTTTTATCTCAAGAATTTTGCATTTAACAGACTTAAGCTTCTTTGGAAGTTTTTTTTTATGATTAGTTTTATCATTGCCGTTTTTGTGGCTATACTGTTCTTAACTTCATAGGACACATAGTGAAATGGATGGTATGTAAGTATTTTCTAGTAATCACTAAGGTTATTACATACCATAATATCTTCTACATTTATGTATCATGCTATACAAAAGTTTATGGTTTTTAGTACTGAAGCATTTGCTTGATATACGAGATTAGCAGACCATTTCTATTACAGCCTTTAGGCTCAGGAATCTACACAGAAAGTTTGAGTTACTTTTTGAAGAAACAAACTTTTTCAACTCAAACATGATTCAGTCCTTAGTCCTTGCACTACAAATATAATCCATTCAATACTCATCCTTTAATAATTCATCTTAAAGAAGCTAAAATAGGGCTGGGAAGGTGGCTCAGTAGTAGAGTGGTTGCCTTGCATGCATGAGGCCCTGGGTTTGATTCCTCAGCACCACATAAGCAGAAAAAGTTGAAAGTGGAGCTGTGGCTCAAGAGGTAGAGCGCTCACCTTGAGCTGAAGAGCTGAGGGACAGCGCCCAGGTCCAGAGTTTAGGCCCCATGACCCACAAAAAAAGCAGAAGCTAAAATAATAGAAACCTCAGATGTTGGGTCTTCGTCGAGGAGGGGTAAGTGCGGCCGCTCGCCCGTTCCCCAGCCTCCCTTAGCCCAGGAGACAATCAGACGCAGCAGGGAGTCAAGTCAAGCAGGAACTCGTTTATTAACAGGGAGCATCCCCTTTTTAAAGCAAAAGACTGTGTGGGAGGGGAGGAAATGGAACCAACCAATCACTGAAAGGCCACACCTTAACATGCACCTAAGCTTCCATGAGTTGTTTACACGCTGAACCTGAACAAATCCAGCTCTGCCCACTCAACTTCCTCTCAGGGCCATCTTTGCTACTTGTGTTCCCCACACTCAGACATTGAATTTCTTTTCCCAGTCACTAACCATTTGAAATAATTTGTCCCATCTGAACTGCAAATAGAAGCCATGACTTGGTCCTAGGAAAACCTTTTTTCAGCAATCTTTTGAAGTGTTTCATTAAGGGCCTTTTGAAATAATGTATTTGTATTGAGTAATTTGATGCTTTTGTAAGTTAGTGCATAGAATACTGCTAATACTTAGTAAAATAAGAGTAATCAAAGTGGTTTTTTTAAACTTTTTTTTTACATTATACAATTAAGTAAGTTTCTAGCCTCCTTGAAAGAAATCACCAGCAATTTGACTTAATAATTTATTTCATGGGGGTACGGGGGAAGGGATGGGAAGGGGAAACAAAGGAGGCTATAATGCTTGATAAGAAATGTACTCATTATCTTGCCCATGTAATTGTAATCCCTCTGAACAGTATTTTCACAATAAAAAATAAAAAAATTAAAATTTATTTCAGCTTAGAGTAAGCAGATTTTGTTATTAAATTCCTTGAATTTCTCATTAATTCAATATTAAAATTGATTGAAATATTTCTTTTCATGTGAGTTTTGATCACCTACCAGCAGGGGTCACTTGAACTCAAGGACCTTTTCTCCCCATTTTCTGTGGGATACTGCACTCTTACTTCAGAATACTAGAATAGGATGAGAATGAAATTAGAGCTACAATTATTACAGTCTGTGCTATCTTCAAAGCATAAAGGTAATCTTGAGTTTGTAAAGGAAAACTTTAGATCTTTAACCTACAAACTAGTTTTAAAACATTGATAACAAAAGCTAATCTTAACTTTAGATACAGCAACTCAAATTGAATATTAAAAAAATAATGCCCTTTTGATATTTGTTCTTTTGAGCCACTGTCTCAGAAGAAAGAATTTGAAGTTCACTGAGAATTAGCTTAATTATAATTTTGTACAGAAATTGTAGCTAATATGACCCTTATTAGCTCTGTTGTAGTTCTTTATTACAATAAAATTAGTAAGAATGAAAGCTGAATATTTCTTAATAAAAAAATTGGAATGTTAAGCGTATCAGCTTTCAGATTTATTTTTCCACTTTTGAGTATTTGTATACACTAGAATTGATGAGCACCCCTTATTTGGAAATTCAAAATGTTTTAAAATTTAAAATTCTGTGTGTGAAAAGTAAGTGCTCAAAATGTTTTCAATATTAGTGATTTTGGATTTTAGGATTTAGGTTAAGGCTAAATCAGCCTGTACTTGCATTCTTCAGTTTCTCTTTTTTGCAACCTTAAACACATGGTTATATAAATAAGACACTGCAATATTTGATTCTTTAGATACCTGTTCTTATCCTTCAAAGTTTCTATTTTTATTCATGTAACCTTGAATAAAAATTAAAAATCTGGATACTGTCTGGCTGGTTTCTATGTAAAATAAACTATGAGAAGGGATTAAAAAGAAGGAATGATCACTAGAGTTGTCTATGGAGATACTACAATTAATTTTTAGAAGTTTTTTGGAAAATTGCCTCCATTATCTCTCATTTTTAAAATATAGTCTAAAAAACTTAGATAATATAGTTCATAAGCAGTATAATTTTTCAGGTACTGTGTTTAATCTTAATTTTTTTTCTAAAATGGTCCACCTTGAGGGCTGGTATTTCTTTTGACCTATTCCCATAAAGCTTTGCTAGGCATTAAACAGATCTTGCTGAAATAAAGATGTGATAAATTAATGTTTATGTGTGTAAGCAGCTGTTTTATATGTAGATTTCTCTTCTAAACACTTTATAGAAGCTAGTAAATTTTGTTTTTATGTTATACGAAAAGTTAAGGTGTGTTTTTAAAGTTTTTTTCTTTTGATCTCTTAGAGAAAGATAATGTTCATATTTTACTTACGTGGATTACTAGTATATTAAAACAATATTGCTTTTTTTTGTTTTTATTTTTAAACAGAGATGTGCTCCTGCATCTATTCGTCTCATGGACAACCAGCAGTTTCAGTTTGGTAAGTGTTGAGTGGTAAATTTAAAATATACTTAGCCTCCAAAATTTGTAGAACTGGAAAAGTAAATATCATGGTTTCTGCTCCTTAGTAAGTTCTCAGTTCAATGAGTTACAAAAATGAATGAGTACAGCAAGACTGCATTCACTACTAGGGACCATAAATGAAAGAATGCTTATTCTACTTCAATTTGCTCAAAGTGGAGTTAGAAAGTAAAAAAACGGTTTCTAATGGATTATAATGTTTGGGATAAATCTTCCAAGGGAAATAGAGGTTTGCGAAATAAAGGTTTCCCTACCACACTTGTTTGTCAGCAAAAGTATGACTTTATGAAACTGCAGTGGTATATTTTAGTGTACTTTGAATAGTTCTGTGTGCCTCAAATAGAGGGTAGGGTGGTTATATGGAATTAAAGGTAGGGTTTTTTGTTTTGTTTTGTTTTTGTTTTTGGGTCCGGTCGTGGGGCCTGAACTCTGGGCCTGGGCGCTGTCCCTCAGCTCTTCAGCTCAAGGCTAGTGCTCTACCACTTGAGCCACAGTGCCACTTCCTGCTTTTTTCTTTTTGCTTATGTGGTGTGAGGAATCGAACCCAGGGCCTCATGCATGCAAGGCAAGCGCTCTACCACTGAGCCACCTTCCCAGCCCAAAGGTCGGGTTTTGCAGCGTAGATATTGATTGAATTTTATTAACAGTAGGATTTATTTCTGCCTGGAATATAATCTATCAGCTTTCCATTTAGGGTGGAGTCAAAGGATACAGGAGATCAAACAATTCAAGATACAAATTGGGGTCCTTGAGCAGAGTAAGAACAATGGTGATTGAGTATAAGGGTAGATTTAAAGAAAAGTCAGCCAACCAATGATGTGGCAAGTTAAATTGGATAGATTAAATAATAGCACAAAAGAAATGGTGTAGGGAAACTATTATGATGGGCTGGTTATCTAAGGTGCCATTGAGATATTGGATGGAGAATTGCATTGGCAATGTGCAAACATTTTTTTCTTTATTTTGTCAATGTCTTTCTGACATAATTTTAGTTTTACTGCTATCTTTTCTCTCTCTCTGTTTTTTTTTTTCCATATGTTTGTGTGTGTGTGTGTGCACCCCGGGCCTAGGGCTTGAATTTAGGACCTGGGGACTGTTCCTGTCCCTGAGCTTTTTTTGCCAAAGGCTAGCACTCTACCACTTGGGCCACAGTTCCACTTCCTGCTTTTTGGTGCTGAATTGGAGATGGGAGTCCATGGATTTTCCTACTTGGGCTGGCTATGAAATGTGATTCCATCTTCAGATCTCAGCCTCCTGAGTCGCAGCATTTCAGGAATGAACCTTCAGTGCCCATCCCTATAGTTCTTACAATACTTAAAACATTTGAAATAATTTCTGAGATTATGGGAATGATTGCTCAGTGATAGATACTAAAGGCTAAGATAGACAGACTTTTGTTTATCATGTCTAAGAGAACTTAGGAGTTTTTTTATTTTTCTTTGAGGGGGATGAGTGATTTATACTTAAATAGAAACAACTAAAGAAGTCAGGCTAGTACCATCAAAAGATAGTTTTTAAATTTGATTCTTTTAAGTCAGTTATAGTTGTCTGGTATGTTTTTTTTGTTGTTGGTTTTTTTTTTTTGGTTGGTCATGGGGCTTGAACTCTTGGCCTGGATGCCATCCCTGTGCTCTTCAGCTCAAGGCTAGCAACTTACCACTTGAGCTACAGCTCCATTTCCAGTTTTCTGGTAGTTAATTGGAGATAAGAGTCTCATGGACTTTCTTGCCCAGGCTGACTTTGAATGCCATCCTCAGATCTCAGCCTTCTGAGTAGCTTGGCATGAGCCATTGGTGCCTGGCATTACTTTGTTGTTATTGTGGTTTTTTAAGTAAATCACATTGAAGACTCAATACTACGCATAATGAAAAATTTGAGTTAAATGTGCCTATAACAAAGAAAATATTAAAAGGAAATTCAGCCGGGTGCCTGTAATCCCTGCTACTCAGGAGGCTGAGATCTGAGGCTTGCAGTTCAAAGCCAGCCCGGACAGGAAAGTCTGTGAGAATCTTATCTCCATTTAACCACCAGAAAACTGGAAGTGGTGCTGTGGCTCAAGTGTTGCCTTGAGCTCAGGGGCAGTGCCTAAGCCCAGAGTTCAAGTTCCACAAGCGACAAAAGAAAAAAGAACAAAAAAAAAGGAAATTCAGCTCTCCTCTGTGTGTTGGCCTACATATAGAGACCTTATTTTTGAGTCATGTATAGTATAAGACTTACTTATTTACGATTATTGTAGTGAATTGTATTAGATATAAACTGTTTTGTAATATTAACTATAATTTGGGCAGTTTTTTTTTTTTAAATAAGTGGAATCTGCAATGACTTAAAAGATGAGAGAACAGGTCTTTCTAGATAGCTGGGAAGTGGCACTGTGGCTCAAGTGGTAGAGCAGTTGTCTTGAGCTGAAGAGCTGAGGGCAGAGTTCAAGCCTTACAACCGGGGCTGGGGGTGGGGGGGAGAGGGGGAAGGAAGAACTAGGTATTTGTTGTCCCTGTTTGTCCCTGTTCTTATTTTTATTACTGTGCCTAGAAGTATGCAAACACACTTCCTCCTAGTTCTATGGTAGGTTCACTTAAAATAAAAAGTAAATGGATGGTGCAAAGTGCTGGTAGCTCATACCTGTAATCCTAGTACTCAGGAGATTGAGAGCTGAGGATCAGAATTCAAAGCCAGCCCTGGTAGGAAAAGCTGTGAGACTCTTATCTCCAATAGGAACTACTAAAAAAGCCAGAAGTGAAGGTGTGGCTCAAGTGGTAGAGTGCTTGCCTTGAATTAAAAAAACTCAAGAAAAGTACCTGGGCCCTGAGTTCAAGCCCCCGGGCTGGCACAGACACACAAAATATATGTATTAGATATAATGACTAACTGTAATTGCTGTTATAGAAATGACTAGTTTACTATTTGTATTTATTTTTATTTTTTATTTTTTTTGTCAGTCGTGGGGCTTGAACTCTGGGCCTGGGTGCTGGCCCTCAATTCTTCAGCTCAAGGGGAGTGCTCTACTACTTGAGCCACAGCGCCACTTCTAGTTTCTTGGTAGTTAATTGGAGATAAGAGTCTCATAGACTTTCCTGCTTGGGCTGTCTTTGAACCATGATCCTCAGACCTCAGCCTCCTGAGTAGCTAAGATTACAGGTGTGAGCCACCAGTGCCCTGCTATTTGTATTTATTTTAAAGGAAGAGCTTATACTTTAAAAGCAAAATCTCCATTTAAGGCTTAAAAAATAAGCCTTTTACTTGGAAATAATTTTATATTTATTAAAGACTTTAACTTTTTTTATAAAAATTACATATATAATGCCATATTTTTCTGCATTGAGCCCATAGCATTAAAGCTAGATGTATAACTCTTAAATGAGGGTCATAAGAATTGGGAAGTTGCTACTCTTTAAAAACAGAAAACAGCAAAGGTTTTTCACTCAAGCTAAATATGTAGTTAACAGATTCTGATATGCCATTTATCTTATTTTTGCAGTTTTAACTATTCATGTATGATTAAAAAAGAAATTGCCCATTCTATGCCATGAATTTTGGATGAGTTAAGAATTAAGATATAACATTAAATTCTGATTATAACTGAGTTGTTTCTGCATATTAAAAAAAATAAAAGTTAAACCAGCCATTTTGGGTGTTTTTTGTTTTTTTTTTTATTTTAAAGGTGATGAACAGGGGGTTACAGTTAATAAGTAAGGTGTAGTAACTACATTTCCTTTAAAACAGTTACCTCCTCCCTCATTTTCTCCTGCTTACCACTCCCCATTTGTGTGTTCTTAATGAAATAAAAATTAATGAAGTAGTTTTACACTGAACAATAACCTTAACTATATATAACATTGATTGCATTTGGTAATTTTATGCAAAAATCAGTGGGTTTCATAAATGAAAAGTTGTGACATTAGAAAGAAAATGAAGACAAAAGATGGAGACGTTAGTTACAAGTATATATAAAACATTTAAAAACATTAGTCATTTAAACTTGTATCTTTTTTGTAATAGTAAGTTGACATAGCTTTTTGATCTTCCTTCAGCACAATTTTATTTAAATATATTTTTTTTTCTTTTAGGTCATGCTCTTAAACCTCAAGTTTCCTCTATTTTTACATCATTTTTGGATGGGCTAAAAAAGTTTTATATTACAAAGGTAATTAAGCCTTTTTAATAAAATGCTAAAAATTTTAAATGCTAATATATTGTTTCTTACCTTCTCCTTAAATGAACTTGCTGTATAAAAGTGTTTTTTCATGTTGCTGTCTACATTTTATTTTTCATGTTGGAATAAATATTTGATCACATCCATCTTGCAGTTTCAGAAATTTTTCTTTTCCAGTTTAAAAAAAATAACACTGTATTGGACAATCTAATGATGATAACATTTCCTATTTTAATTTTTACAATAAAAACTTAGATGTGAAATTTTTTTAACATCTTTGATTACTAAATTGCTTTCCTAATGAGTTACAGTAGGTTATATTACCACTAGCAATAAATGTGCATTGTTATAAGGATTTTTGTTGTTTATTATGCTTTAAATTTATTAGAGTGAAAATAGTACTATGTTTTAGTTTATGATTCTTGAAACTAAGGAGAGACTGAGCATATATCTTTTTATTCCAGATAAAATTTTGTGTGAATTATTTGAATGTAATGGGATTATTAGAAGCCCTTTGTAAATAGCTTCACCCAGTGAAGTGCCTCCATTTTAATAGGATTTTTGTTGTTGTTTTGGTGCTTGTTTCACATTTATATTTTTTCCTGTGGTTATTTAATCACAAATTTAGAAAAGTCTTCCTTTCTTTGAAATATAATTAGGATTGCTTGTTTCTGTCTCCCTCTTTTGTTAAGTAAAAATTGAAATTTTCTTTGTTATTAATTCTGTTTTAATTTTATGATGTGAGGTTAAGATATTAATTGATACTCACTTCCTGCTTTCTTATGCTAATCAGCTGTATGAGCACTGTCATCTTTAATACCTGATCCTCTTTTTTTTTTTTTTGGTGGCTATACTAGGGTTTGAACACAGCAGCTTACATTTTTGACTGGCACTCTGCTATTTGAGCTATGCTTCAGTTCTGGCCTTTTGCTAGTTAGTTGGGGATAAGAGTCTCCAGGATTTGTCTGACAAAGCTAGTTTTGAATGGTGAGCCTCAGATCTCAGATCCCAAATAGTTAGGTTTGTAAGTGTGAGCTACCGACACCCCTATCAACTTCTGCTACTCATACATTGATTTGTCTTGCCTAAGACATTTGTTTGTATGGTACATCTCCAAGAAATAGTCTCATTTTAATATTTTAAATTATTTTAAATGAGTCATTTATTTTTGAAAATTTAAATAGATTTAATTGTTGTAAGTCTGGTTTTTCCTATTATTGTGAATTTTGATAGTTGATCATCATTAACTACCTGTTCATTTTCCATAATTTTAGAAAGTCCATTGGGATTTTTGAATTAGAATAAACTAATATATTAACTTAAAATATTGGTAGGCTTAGAATAATTTATGCATTCAAGAACATATCTTTCAGATTTTTTTTCCTACTGAACTTACTTATTTGCAGATCTTTGTTACCTTAATTTTATGTACAAAATCTTTTTAAAAGTATTACTTAATAAGTTATTACTGGGATATAGGAATTCTGTTGATTTTCTTCCCCTTATGTCCAGCTACTTGTTGTTTCATTTTGTAGCTCTTACTTGGTTTGACATTTTTAATTCTGATAAGTTATCTGTTGTATTTATTTATATACCATTATGTCATTATGATTTAGACATGTAATACTTTCACATAAAGTTTTTGTGGGTTTGTGTTTACTTTTTGTTTTTGTTTTTTGGGGATCCAACTCAGGGCCTCTTACATGGCAAGTGTTGTATCTTTAAATGTGATTTAAAGACATTAAACATTCTTATTGATTAACAAAATGTAACAAAGCTCAATTTTTAAGAGATGGGTATATTTAAGCCCAGATCAGAAAGAAAAATGTAAAAGTTATTTTGATTTACTGTTTTATAGGATAAAACTTAGCTATAATAATATTTTATTTTTTAGTTTAAAGGATTTGATCCGAATCAAATAAGTGTCGCAACATTACTGTTTGAAGGGGACCGTGAAAAGGTTCTTCAACATGAGAAACAAGTATATGACATTGCTGCAAAATTTGGGTATGATTTTAAGTTCATAATATCAAGAGAAAGTCAAGCTGGAATGATAATATCTCAAGCATTTATTAATATACTAGGGATTCATATCTCTATGAGACTGCATGTCTTTTGGTAGCTATTTATTTAAATTTGCTATTGTGGAAAATTGTTTTACTGCCACAATTTGTAGGATGTTAGATTGATTAATTGCTCTTGTCTAATTATACATACACATACTAAATATTCTATTTTTCAGAGTTTTGTACTTTTGCTCATTTATATTTGTTGTTTGTACAAGAGTAAAATAAGAAAAAACATTTTCATGTTATTCTTGAGTTATAGTATGTATGACTAAAGCATGCTATTGGTGTGTTTTAAAAGGCAATTGTACTTAATCTATCGTATTTGATAAATCATTGCTGCTCCATTTCTTGTCACTTAGGTTTTTGTGCTGGTATAAAGAAACAAAAAACATTTCACATTTATAACCAACTGAATAATGATAGCGTGGTTTCTGTCTGTCTTTTTGATAGATTATAAGACTGATGGATGAGAATTACAGTGGAAATGCCATTTATCAGAAGTACATTTTCCCTCTTTTAAGTACATAAACTAACAGTTTTCTGGACATTAACCTTTCATACCTTTTCTGTTTTATACATATTATACATGTATATGTGTGTAGCATGGGTTCTTTATATTTACTTTCATTCCTTTTTGTAAAAAGAAATGAACATATGGTTTAGAATGTTCCAGTCTTATGTATTTTTTCCACATATAAAATAGTTTAGCCCTTTACTGGTAGGATTGATTGAGTTTAGCGAGGTGCTGATGGTTCATTCCTGTAATCCTAATGGAGGCTGCTAAAATCTGAAGATCATAGTTCAAAGACAGCCTGGGCTGGAAAGTCTCTGAGACTCTTATCTTTAATTGATCACCAAAAATCAGAAGTGGAGCTAAGGATCAGGTGGTAGAATACCAGAATTGAACAGTGACAGTGACAGTGGCCAGGCCTTGAGTTCAAACCCTAGGACCTGCACATAGCAAAATAAAAAATATTGTTTTTAAAGTGACAAAGGTTCTAATTTTGAACTTACTAGTTTACTTTTTTACTTTTTTTGAGTATTGGAAACTAATTGTTCACTTTTATTTTTATACTATTTTGAAAAATTGCAAGAAGAATTTTGTTTTCTTTAGTAAAAGATAAAGTTCACTTTACCTTTTACATTGTTTCCTTTCTTAGTATCTTTTTAGGAGAGTTACTGATGTTTAGCTAAATTAGTTAAAAGTAATTATTCTAAAGGGATTTATTTAATAACCAAATGTCTTGAATTTCAAGTAATCTCATTTTTGTTTCAAATGTTGAAATATATTTTTTCCCAGAATTTATTTAGCCCTATATATGCACCATTTTTTTACTTTTTAAGTTTTATATATATATATATATATATATATATATAATGCATGTATAGTTTAATTAGAGTTTTTTTTTTTACAATTAGTCAAAAAATTTAAGTTAAAACATCTTTTTTAGTCTTAAGTATTCAAGACTCAAGGCTGACAGAATGGTTCAAGTATTAAGAGTACCTGTCTAGCAAGCAGAAGACCGTGTGTTTAAAACCTAAAGTACTTTAAAAATTTTTGAATACATGTAGGATTGAAACTTAAAACTTTTTCTCTTATATTTTTACATATTTAACTTCATTAAAAAATTTCTAGAAGAACTTAAAGGGAAACAAAATAGGACATTTTGCTGTTAATACTTGAATCACTGTTGATAGGATTAAATTTATATGGTTTTACCTCATTCTCCCATCCTGAGACAGATACACACACACACACACACACACACACACGCACGCACGCACGCACGCACACACTTTATGGGATCAATAATTATAATTGCAATTCAGAGCAGCTAGGCAATCATTACCAGTTAGCAAATGTGTCTCTGATGCCTGTTTTCTGCTTCATTTATGCCTAATCACTATGGTACTTGTAAAACAGTATATTTTATTCTTTAGGTCTTTGCCAGAACCATTCCATTGGTTTTGTTTTATAAATGTTAATGCCAGTTTCTCACAGAACACCATTCATTTGGAATTTGTTATGTTGTTTCTAATAAGCTGTTACATTGTAATTAATTTCTTATGTATTTACACCTTGACTTCTTTCATGTAGATATAAAATTATCTGTTCAGAGTAACCAAGATGGTTATAAAGGAGATGACTTAGATATTTTGAATTTTTTAATATCCGGAAACATTTTTATTTTCTAGTAGAGGCCCCAGTTTTCTGTACACAGTAGTATTTTGTTCTAATTACTGAGCTCAGTGTATTTTTGTTATTTTAGCCCCACTCTGCCAACCTATTATTGTCACTTATCCATCTGTATAATAATTTGGAAGAAGCTATTTTTTTCTGCTATTTTTTTGGTGGGAGGGGGGGAGGGAGCAATCCTGCAGCTTGAACTCAGGGTCTACACACTGTCCCTGAGCTTTTTCTCTCAAGGCTAGCACTTTACTACTTGAGCGTACTACTTCCAGCTTTTTCTGAGTAGTTTATTGGAGATAAGAGTTGTATGGACTTTCCTGCCAGGGCTGGCTTCCAACTGTGATCCTCAGATCTCAGCCTCCTGAGAAATTAGGATAACAGTTGTGAGCCACCAGCGGCCTGGCCTGCCAAAGTTTTTATGTTGTTTTGGTTTAGGTCTTTTATTTTTTCTTTCGGGCATTAATAATTTTTCTTTTCTTCTGTTCCTGTTTAAATTGGTTGCTTTTAAAGAAATGCTTCTACCGGTTTAGAATTTTTTTCCCTTGGTACTAGAGTTGGAAGTCTAGTCCTCAGGCTTGCTAGACTTTGCTTGCTGTACTGGAGCTCTACCACTTAAGCAACACCTACAACCTGGTTATTTTAGAGATAGAGTTTCAAGGACTTACTGCCCAGGCTGGTTTTGAACTGCTGTTCTCTAGATCTCTCTCAGCCTCCTGAGTAGCTAGGATTGTAGATCTGAACCATTGGACCTAGCTTAGAATATTTTTATATGTTACCTGTTTTGCTCCTTTCCTTTCACTCCTACCCAACATTCAACAGACAATAGTATCTAAATACTGAATGGTCATACTTTGGTTGTTTATTCATGTTTGTTAGTAATGTTTTTTCACCTTTCTAAGAGCTACACAGGACAAACATTGCCTGTCAGCAATCATAACAGGTATTTTGATATTTAGTATAGAACTTAAGGTGGTATGTTATTATTTTTAAGGAGACATCTGTGTTGTTTAACATAATTTCATACGAGAGTGATTAGGCTCACCAGATGGCCCTTATATGTAAGGTGATTGTCTCTCGTTCTTATTTGACTTGTCTTTCTAGTCCTTCCTTATGAACAGCTTTAAATACGTTTGAGTAACTTGGAAACTGATGTTTGACATTTCTGCCAAGAGCAGGAAATAGAGGATGGACATTCTCATTTTGAAACAGTTTGAATCAGAGCACAGGTTTTTGGATTGTCTGCAAAAATGACACCTTGGAAGAATTTAATTTCTCAGCTCTGCAGTTTTTTACCTTTTGTATCTTACGATAATTCCGATTGGGGCTGGGAAAGTAGCTCAATGGTAGAAAGCTTGCCTTACATGCATGAGGCCTGGGTTTGCTTCTCAGCACCCACATAAGCAAAAAAGGCCGGAAGTGGTGCTGTGGCTCTAGTGGTAGAGTGCTAGCCGTGAGCTGAAGAGCTGAGGGACAGCATCCAGGCCCAGAGTTCAGGCCCCACAACAGACCAAAAAATAAATAAATAAAAGATAATTCTGGCTAGATTCATAGTTCTGAAAGCTCAAAAGGAGCTTCTACAAGCTAAATTTTCAAGGAAATGTGTGTGTGTGTATAATTTTTTAAAGCCACCTCATTGCTTTTTCTTCTCTAGTAAGATTATGACTTTAGAATGAGAATGTAGTTTAAAGGGTTTTTTTTTCTGAATTAAAGAAAAATGTGTATTTCTGTATGATTTGTACCACTAGATCTCAATGTGTAATACCCCCTGTCTACACATCAAATATTAGATGATGATTTTAAAAAATGATGGCTTGATCAGTGACTAGAAAGAAGATGTAGTCTTATCCTGATATAGAGACAGGCCTATTAAGTCTTCATGCTTACAGCTTTTTACCACAGAACATACCTTACATGATCCTTCTAAGAGATTCCAAGCACAGATCTCTAACATATTTTCTCTTTTCATTCTCCCACTACTTCCAGAGTGAACAGCTTCTACTTCCTAAGCCTGAGTTGTTTTTCTCTTTTACAGAGTCCAGCTTTGTGTTATGTCTCCTTGAGCTATGAGCTTGTATATTTTCCTTCAAATATTTGTCATAATAATTTTCTCCTTTGTTTTCCTTTGGTTTTGGTACTTAGTTTGGCTCTTTACTTCCAATCTCACATCAACCTAGGGTTGTTTTTTGTCTCTTTATGTTTGATGACTTGACCTAAGTTCTGTCTACTTTGCTCTTTAACTTTGCCTTAATACCAACAATCTTCTTATTCTGTTATACTCTTATCTTCAATCCAGAGCTGCTTTGGGTCAGGCCTGTCACTCCTGGATGCCTCTAACTTGTATACTTATAAAAGTAAGCCAGGAAATGCTGATTTCTTTTCCCACAGATTCCAGCCTGAATTTGTGATGCAGTATTGTATAGAATAAGAGAATACATGTCTATATCGAAGTCCAGCAAAACTTCAGCAAAAGAAAGGATTTAATACATTATAAGTTAAGGTCATCAGGGAAGTTATTCTTCCTTTAATTGACTAAAATGAATTAAAAGTTATTTTTTGAGAATAGAACCCCCACACAAAATCTTAAACTAAAGATTGTAGAAAACAATTTTTATTCATTTAAAATAATAGTTGAATTATATGTTCCATGGGGTTGATTCTAATAATCAAATATTTCTGGCTCTTAAATAATTTCATAGGATACCATATTTAATACCAAATACATGTACTTAGGTATTCAAGAAACTGTTAGTATTTTGGAATTACTATTTAATTATCACATACTTTCTATATGTATCAGAGTGTAATAATTTGAGTATAAGAATTTAAAATATAGCACATGTTGAGTATCCCTCATCTGAAATGCTTCCAATTTTGGAATCTTTATATATGCCTAATGAGTTTTCTTTAGGATGAGACCTAAGTCTATAACAGGAAATTCATTTATGTTTCTTGTATACCTTAAACACATGGCCTGAAGTTAATTTTATACAGTATTTTTTTAGTACACTATTTTTTGGTCCCTAGTCTATTACTTGAAACCTACTGTAAAATTTCCTATTTGGGACAAAATGTTGGTCAGAAAGTTTTGAACTTTGGGGCATCTTGGATTTGAGGCGAAAGATATCTCAAACTGCCTGAATAAATTAATAATACTTTAAGTATTTTGTTTTATGCTAGTGAAGGTCATTCTGATTTTTTTAAGGTTATTTCTCATGCCTGACTCCAAAGTAGTTGAGTTCATTTGAGTATTACTAGCTTGGTAGATAGAATTTTTAACTTTTTTTTTTTTTTTGGTCAATGGTGGGGCTTGAACTCTGGGCTTGGGTGCCATTCCTCAGCTCTTCAGCGCAAGGCGAGCGCTCTACCACTTGAGCCACAGCGTCACTTCTGGTTTTCTAGTGGTTTTTTATTGGAGATAAGAGTCTCATGGACTTTCCTACCCAGACTAGTTTTGAACCATGATCCTCAGATCTCAGCCTTCTGAGTAGCTAGGATTACAGGCGGGAGCCACCAGCGCCCTGCTAGAATTTTTAACTTAATGACTACGTTGAAATATAAAAAGTATTTTCAGCTTTTTGCTACCCAATCTTATTCTCTTGATAGCTCCTTGATATATTTTTGATAAGTGAAATTAGGATAAAAATGAGATGTAATACATGTTAATGTGTGAAATAGTTGGATATCAATTTGGTAGTTTAGTGATACATTTAAAATAAATTTGTTCTTAAATTATAGTGGATTGGCAGCTGGAGAAGATAATGGGCAAAGAGGTTATTTGCTGACCTATGTCATTGCATATATTCGAGTAAGTTAATCTGTTTTAAAGATTTTTTAAGCTTTAAAGTTTTGCCTTTAAATTCTGATTTTTGTTTGTTTCTTTTTTCTCTTCTAATACTGAATCTTGAACTAAGGGCCTTAGGCTTGCTAGGTAAACACTCTTAACACTTGAACAATGTTCCTCATCCTGTTGTTCTTAGTGTTTTTGTGGTTTCCACCCACTCCAAATATTTCATGTTTTTGTCAGGGTCAGACCTGAACAATGATCCTACCTTTTCCTCCCAACTTGATTTCATTTTTCAGATAGCCTACTGAGAATTTGTTCCTTCTTAAATTTCTCTAAATAGCTTTAAAATGTTGTAAAAGAATATTTTTAAGGAATTTCACTGAGTTCAGAATTCTAGAAAATAAAATATAACTAACATATATAGCATAGACACAATTTGGAGTGTCTTAGTTTTAAGGTTCTAGTTAAGATTGAAGCAGGGACAAAACTATGATGGAGGGGTTTTTTGCCCTAGATTTGTTTTATCCTTAAAATATTTTTCTGAGGGGCTGGGAAGGTGGCTTAGTGGTAGAGTGCTTGCCTTGCATGCGTAAGGCCCTGGGTTCCATTCCTTAGTACCACATAAGCAGAAAAGGCCAGAAGTGGCTCTGTGGATCAAGTGGTAGAGCGCTAGCCTTGAGCTAAAGTGTTGAGGGACAGTGCCCAGGCCCAGAGGTCAGGCCCACAACCAACAATATATATATATATATATATTTTTTTTTTCTTCTGATGTATACTGCCATTGTCACAGGTATTTGTTTACTGAACAAATGAATGCATAAGAGAAAAGAAAGATAATCTAGAGATTTTCATTGTTTACCATTAATGGAGTTGAAATGATTCATCTTACTGGAAATGAAAACACAAAGTTTTTGTCTCTGATGAATTTCCTTTAAAATACTTGTATATCTATGGCTGTTTATGAATCTTTCCTGCTCTGGTAATAGAACAACTTTAATTTGGCTAAATAAATTGAGTATTACAAGTTAATTATTATATTTTGTTTGCTACATTTTCGTAGCAGAAGTAGTTTCAAATGCTCTATGTATTGTCACTTCAAAAAGAGGCACTATTATTTTCTAAATTTTTTCTTAAAAGTATATGAGGAAAAACAAAGATCTCCAACATTTTTACTTCCTCTTTCATGTTGGTGCCCAATTTTTAATTTTATTTTTCTATTTAGGCCTCTAAAAATCTATTCTTTAGTCCTGTTAATATATACCTAAGACTTTGACTAGATAGAGATTCTGTTCATAGAGCTGTGTATGTTGCCAAAGAGAACAACTCAGACAAAGCTTCTGTACTTAGAGAGGTAATATACCACCCAGTAGTTTCCAGTGTTCTTCTGAGATAGATAATACAGAACACTTGAGGTTAGATTAGAAATATGTTATATTAAGTGTCTTGAAATGCTGACAGTATTATTGATTATTGTATTTGTTGTGGTTTTGTGTTTTTTGTGTCTTAACAGGACTTGGGTTTGGAATATTACGTAGTAGGAGAGTCTTTTGAGACTTCTGCTCCTTGGGACAGGTAAAATCTAATAAAATACTTCATTTAACTATGGTTTCTGAGTTGCTAAATGTATGGGTGCATGTAATGTATTTCTCTGTGAATGCATAAACTTGGAATTTGATGAAGAAACATTAAAACAAAGTAGCTACTTGTCTTTAACTTAATATCCTCAGAAGGATGCCATGTTTGCAAGCCCCCATTTATCTGTCTGTAAGCCAAAGAAGGTACTCTTGAAGTTTTATGTTTTGAAAAATTTTACTAGACACTAAATGTTACTGTGTAGTTTTACTTGGCTTTGTTTAAATTGTTTCAAGATTACTGTGCTTAAATACTTAGTCAATAAAAGTTCCCCAAGGTAGCCGGGCGCTGGTGGCTCACGCCTGTAATCCTAGCTATTCAGGAGGCTGAGATCTGAGGATCATGGTTCAAAGCCAGCCCGGGCAGGAGAGACCATGAGACTCCTATCTCCAATAAACCACCAGAAA